CATCTATTGCGGCGTTTGTGGAAAAACGCCGTAAAACATCAACACCTACTGTGGCGTTTTAGAGAAAAACGCCACTAAATATCATTACCTATTACGGCGTTTATCTAAAAAACGCCGCTAAATATCAACACCTATTGCGGCATTTTTCTGACAAACGCCGCTAAATATCAACACCTATTGTGGCGTTTGTCACACAAACGCCGCTAAATATCAATACCTATTGCGGCGTTTTTTGTTTAAAAACGCCACGAACTTTAGCGACGCTATTTTTAACGGCGGTTTTCGTGGCGTTTGTCTTAACGCCGCATGTGTTTTTAGCGGCGCTTATAAACGCCGCTAAAGGTAAAAAAAAACGCTGCAAAAAACCTGTTTTGCTATAGTGATACATATATAAATATTATACAGCAACTTTCTAGGTTTGAAAAGGCAGCAAAAGTGTACCATTTTAAATGGCTAAATAATCAAATTAAGAAGATAGAGCGGAAATGCTTCTCCCATTTTCATTTCCATATTCAAAAGCATTTTAAAGCTTGTTAAAGTATTCACAATTCAGATCCCTCTTAAGCATCTATCCAGGTTGTATGCAGACAAAAAAAACAACCAGTCTTCAAGCAATTGTTAAGTGATGTTGGACTGTAAAGTCTAAACAAACTAGCAGACCTAACTATTTTCTTGTTCCAATTCTTTGTGGGCTCATGCTTTTAATAAAATTAGACAATCATTGTACTTGGAGATCATTTCAGTATCAATTTATGTCCTACACTTGCTGGATTTTTAATCTGATACGCCTAAACCCTACTGCAACTGCCCACCAAACAGCCAAATAACTGGTACTAAATATTATTGAAAATTTTAGGTTAAACTACACTGGTGTGCTTATAAATTTAGTCACCAAAGTTACAAAATTGTATCAATGTGGTCATTTTCGTTAAATTATTAATGGAATTATTGATATTGTAATCATTAAGTCGATATAATAATACATTTGTAAACTTTGACAGATTTGAATAATTTAACAGATTTGATCATTTACATTTGTAAACTTTATCAAATTGGTCAAAGAAACTCATTTTCATGTTTAATATCATATTCCAATTATATTTTCTAGATAGTTTGTATTGTGTAAATTTATTATATCCATAGCTACCAAATCTTGACTTTGCATACTGCTACCATATTCAATCTCCTTCGTGCACAAATGTTGGTAAAGGTGCATGGGTACATTTACAAAACCAAATCACTTCTTTGTTGAACAGATTTTTATAAGCATTATATTTTCGAGAAATTTATTAATGAGAAGTTAGGAATCCAAGCCCATCCTCCTTCAAGAAAGTAAGAAGGCTAATAAAACAAGAGATTGCTAAGGATTCTAAATTTTCGTTAACCATAGTGTATTGTACAGTCCCTGTGGATTGCATTTTAATTTTTATACTTTTAAAATAGCTAAAATTAATAATTTTCAAAAAAAATGATTTAATTAAAAGATGCAACATTTCTCTGAAATATGACATTAAATAGTGATTACATGTTACAGTAATTTGGCACTTATTGCATTCGATTTATTTCGTCAATACCACATGTTTGGAATGACAAATTTTGTTCCTATATCGTCAGACAGTAACTAAATATTTTGTGCCATGCCGCTACTGCTAATTATAATTGGTTGATCAGTGATGATGCGGATCAGGACCTCCAGGACTACGACGTTTCGACTCGTACAACTTCTTCGTCTCTTGGTCTACGACTGGTACGCTAAAGTGGTACACTTTACCTGAACTAGCAGCAATGGACAATGCTTTGAAAGACCTAGTTGTCTCCCTTCCATCAATGTAAGTATTAAGAAGTCGACTCTCAGACTTCGAAATCGCATAGCATACCAGTAAGATCAGACATGCACAAAACCGCAAGCTGGCCATCTGTGGGTGTTTAAGACTTTAACAAGAAGTTATTCAATATGGAGAGAGGTGGTGTACAGTATATATAGACCAGAGAAATTGACGATATGCTATTAGTTGACCAATGGCTCCAATGTCATGATTATTGTGAAATCCAATATGCATGATAAATTCATACAATTGCAAACGTATGTGGCGCATACAAATGCTTTTTAGAAATATTTGGTATATGTTTCAATCTGTCTTGTATTAGAGTAAGCCAATCTTCAATGCATTTAAGAAAGGCAACTAGGTTTTAGCTTTTCTCCTTATCCAATAGGCAAATGTCGAAGAGTCACGTCTCATGTTCGAGTTACTTTTCGAGAAATCCACTACATCAAATTAAAGTGGCACGCTGATGATGGCGTTGTTGGGTTCTTGAGTGCTCTATGACCGTGCATGCCCATCATACGTTGTAGTACTAAAAGTAAGTCAACCCTATGGGCCAAGTTTGTGCCATATCATCCTATTATGAGATCCGAGTATTGCTTTGATATATTCGCACTGTAATATCATGTATAGATAATAGATTAACTCTATCTCAATGATACAAAATGACTACTGTTTTTTATAACTATTCGAGTCCGTTGATGAAGAGTTTTAGTCGAATAGGATTGAAGGAGAGTCATTCTTTCCTTAAGAAAACATTTCCCTCCTTACGTCTATTAATGAAATTTATATATTGGTCGTGAAATGACTCTCTTTGCAATGTTTATGTCATGTCTAATAAGATTATGATTACTATATATAGGTTGGCCGGGTGTATAAACGTAGCAGTCAATTAATAGATTTGATCAGAACAAATCTCTTAGGTTCATCAAGAGTTTTTTATAAGAGTCATGTCGGGGACTCATGCTCTCCGGTAAATCCTTTTGGAGGTACTTGTTGGCATATTGGTGGAAAGTGGTATTTTCCGAGGTATAACATAGTCGTCGCTCAGCATATTTTTGGGAAAGCATTTGAATCCTATTTATATGATCCATGTGTACAGATGCAACACGGTCAGTTTAATATCCTTAGCAACTAGCAATTGCCAAACCAAGAAATTCTCCTATCAAAATTATCCTGCACAGCGCTCTCTTAAATAACTCGCCATGGATATGAAAATCACAGAATGCATAACCAGAAAAAGTACACAAACTATATCCAAACATTAAATACATAGCATTACATGATTGTTGATGATTTCCCATTTCATTCAACAGATTTTGTCAGTACAAAGCAATTCTCATATGTCAGTTTTATTTCTTTCATCATCAGAAAGTACATGAAATCAGTACTGCCAAGTGATTTACATCAGTGATGTGCAGGATCAGGACCCCCAGGACTAAGACGTTTAGAGTCATAGAGGTTTTTGTTTTTATACAAATCATCTCTCATCTCTGTAGTGAAATGGTACAGTACCTTCCCTGAACTAGTCACAACGAACAACATTCGAGACGATGCGGTCGGATTCCGCCCCTCAATGTTTGGATTAAGAAGTCGACATTCAGACGTTGAAACCAAGTACAATACCAGTATCAAGCATAATGCAAGAGATCGCCAGTGAGCCATTTTCTTGTCCGTCCAAGCTTTGAATAATAAGTAGTATATATAGGCATATAGTAGGCTTTTAGGGAAGCTCGAGTTCAACTTAACTGTACAAGTACATATCCGCTTGCTGCATGCAAGAGCCGCGTCTTCTCGGCTTCTTCTAGAGACAAAAGCAGAATTTAATTAATTAGATAATAATAATAATGAGAATAATAGACTGTTTTAATAATTTATTTTGTTGTTATTAGAACTGGAACTTATGTCATCTAATATTTTTCCCTTGAAACCTTGGAGCACATGTCAAAGCCACTATAAATCGTAGTGGTCTGCTGACTATAACATAGAATATACTTGAGTTTGGCATGGCAAATGAATATTCATCAACTCAGATTCAAAATTATAGTGAAACGGAAAGTCCGCTGATGTTAGTGTGGGCCAAGTTTGTTTGTCATATTCCAGTGGACTTTATCTGGAGAATGGATCAAATAGTGGGACTTTGGGGTTGTGATTAAATTAAAAAAGTGTGTAAATTCACTGTTTTTATTCTCAATGGTACGAAAAGGGTATTAAGTTGTGAACTGATTTATCATAGAAAAGATGCTAAACGACTAGTAATTGCTAGCACGTTGGCTTCTCTGGTTTGTTTGTCTCATTGCTTAGTTTGAAGACCGTAAGTTCTTAAATAAAATGAACTAATAAAATACAGCTAAGATTGTCATCCAAGTGATAAAATAGTGTTTTGGTATATGTAAAGGATACTAAATCATTTTCTTCAGTCCAACTTTAACATGTTCCTTGAGTTACCTTATCATTGTTAGTATTACTTAAGAGATGAAAAAGTATGCATTGGAAATAGAAATGCTTTTACTTTGATTTATAAGGAACTTTCTCATTCCATATTTTTTTAGAGACTGTTACTTGGGGTATCGTCCAATGCAAAAATTACATCAATCGATACGAATTTACTTTTAAGACAGTGATTTATCATGGCATAATTTGTAAATTCCTATTCTTTTGTTTCTTATTTTAATTGTCCAGTCAATGTTAACGCCTCGTGTCACAGTGATAATACCAACAATCGTTTCCCACATTACGATTGGCAATGACAGGTGCAGCCTCTTCTCTTAAAATCTTTTAGAGAAGCATACCATATAGAAACACCGTCAACATATACTCTCTTACCCAAGCAATCCACAATAAATCTTGTCCTGCTATAATCTTTCTTATTAGTTGAATAATACATGCTTTATTTCACACCTCAAGATTCTTCATTTCAAGCCCTCGTTTAGAATTGGGGAACATATTTTACTCCTACTCTTGCTGCGGATACTTATCATCCTTTCAAAAGAATCTAGTATAAAGTTGATTTACCCTTTAAGTACTGATTCAGGCAAAATAAAATGTCTGCACCAGTACTTCTGCATTTGAAACATAACAGAAGATAATGAAAACAAAACAAAAATATCACATAGTAAAGAATCACCATCTCTGTTCTGCTACCAAAACCAACAGGTTTGACAGTTTTGTAGTCAAGCATGTCATTTTTTTCAGTTCTCACCACTTCATATACAAAAAACGAAACAAAACCAAGAAGATATAAATACATTAATTTTTCAATACCTAAGTAAAAGAAAGTAGGATTTTGCTCACTTGCATAGCCGATAAGTTTAGTGGCAACATGAATTTTGAAAACCAAATGGATGATCTATGTCTAGTCTTTGGCTTGCTGCTGAATCGCTATCACTCCCTTTTTATTGTTCACTTCTGCAGCTTTGGTGCTTTGTTGACGTGCAGCTGGTTTCTCAGCACCAGGGTAAGACAACCTCCTAGGCTTCATCTTCATGGTTTCCTTCTCATTGGAAATATGGGTTTTCGCTGATACGGATGGTTTCGGTTTTGGTGAATTCGAATTTTTACTAGCCTTGTTTATCTGTCTGCTCTGTGGTTTCTTAGGGATAATGGACTGAGTAGGGAGGCGGCTCTCCCATGGACGAACAGTAATCCAGCGTTCCACCCAGCTCCAACCCCAATTGGCTTTAGCAAGCTCGTAATTGCCAATCCCATTATAGTTAGAGCTGGGGGCCCTCCACTACAAATCATGTATATGCCGTGGTTAGTTATTGCTTAGACAACTTTCACCAAAATAACAAAACTTACAGCTTCAGAAAAGGGCATACTTGGTGAGAAAACGCATATGCCATAGTTCGCTCCCGTTTAACTGCTGCTTCTTCTCTATGATGTATTTTTGTGAGAATTTTCTCCATTGTGTCAGGACCACAAGACCATTCTACCTATCATCCATTTAAACTAGTATTAAAAGAGAGAGAACCGAATAAGCCAGTCTCGAACTGGCAGATTAAATGGAAGTAGAAAACAAAGATATCCTGAGGCTTTCATCACGTGGTAGGAGCAAAGTTTTAGATACTTTGGCAAATGGAACATTAAGAATTTTAAACTATAAAATGGAAAGGATAAAACAGATTGGTATGACATAACAAATGCTGCTTGAAGACAAGTCTAGAAGAACCAAAAGGACTCTGGACCAGGATGAGCCTACTTCAATTGTTCCACAAGCAGCTTGCATAAACAGAACCCAGAAGATCCATATCATGACATACCAAATCTTAACTATTCATACCATTAACGACTCAGGAGCATCAAATGAGCTTGCAATATACAGGAGTTGGAATCTCCATTTGATGAGTTGCTGATAATTGACAAAATACTACTAAGATACATACATGCAAAGAAGGCACAAAGAGATATGATGGGAAGAAAACCAGAAACTATTTAAACAACAAGAGAACTCAAGAAAATAGATTACTTGATCATTGCAGTCAATGCTCTAGGCCATCACAAATTTAAACCTTAATAATTTTCTTGTGATTACCATTTAGACTGGTTTGTTACAATTTAGAACAGCAAATTATAACAAAAGATTCGATCAGAAAATGAACAGGTGACTTGGGCTGAACAGAAACTACTGTTGATTCTATACCACATTATGCATGCCAAATGACCATTCCTACAGATTTCTAGGTGTCAACTTCTTATACTCAAATCCTCGCAAGCTTTTAATTTATACCCATCAATGATCATTAGGTGTAAAGCAGGATACTTAGGAAAATAAGGTGATGCTAATTGTCCACAACCTCTATGTCATGTAGTTTTGCCTCGAGCTTTAGTTGATTTGCTATTTTTTTCTGTCTGAGACGGCCTTCTGTTACCATACAGAGCCTGCGAGCCCTTATCTGGGCCTGTATGTTACTCCATGAGTGAAGATAATTTAATGTTGTTGTAGCTTGCTTTCTGACAGAAACATTTAGGGTTTGAGCCTGTAACCTTACGGTACCTTTCAATCTACGTAATTGTTTTCTAGCCTGCATCATGCAAAAAGAAATTATTAAACCATTCTACCAACTTAATGGCGAGCATATGATCTTACCTCCAAGTGGATTAAAAGGAGAAAGAGGAAAACCAAAACTACACTTGCATTGTCAACTTATAAACAAATTCGAAACAGGGGAGATAGTTGGGCACATGCTCTTGATATCAATTGATTATCACATACTACGTGCCTATATTGCTCCTATTTTAGAAATAATTTCACAAATTCATTTTGAAGAGACTAGAGAAGGTCACTTCACTAGTCACTCCAATTTGATGATCCAGTTAACAGTGAATGATGCAACATGCAGAATCTAGTTGCAGCTAGAGAATTGAAATACAAGACGGTTGAATCACCAAACGTAAATAAGGAAAATCAGGTGGAATCTGAAACTAGAATTTATGGGGAAGCAAAGAGAGAGAGTAAGAAGATTCTTATTAAAGTGATGCCATGACCAAAATATCTCTGCAGTGTGCAAACCATCTATTGTCAGGTTTTTGAAGCCCGATATAATCTTAAAAGAGGTCATACATGTATTTTTATAGTGTAATGTATCATCTAAAGAAGAATGCAAAACTTAACCTCATAAACAAAACAAATGCTATTGTCTAAAAATTGACAGTAATTACAATTGTAAAGGTTTCTTGTTTGCTCTGTGAGGAAACATCACTTAGACATGATCACCACCAATGCAAGCAAAGACATGCACATATAAAAGCTTTCACCTATTACGATCTTATTTATAGAACTTCCAAATCAACATACTGTATAGGCCCTGAATGCAGTTTGAATCCGTTTCGCTGCTAAATCTTCAATTGGCATGCCAAGAGTGTTGGGATTTTTGCTAATTAAACTCGTTCTAGAGGATGCCTTCCGCTGGTGTTTCTTCCATTTGAAGCCATTGGATTTAGTAGAAGCAGAAGGTTCCTGTCCCAAGTAGATGAGACCAATTACAAGGTTAAGGTCACCTCAATAAAGGGAACAAATGAAAGATAAATTGGAGGAGGCAAACGTTATCAAGAAAGATGTAATGAATAATTGGTAACGACACTTTCAGTTGTAAAAGCTTTAAAAAACCATTTTATGGGAAATACAATCTTCCAAAGGTTTAGATCATGGATAATTTAAACCCCAAGGATTCAAATTGCAAACTAATTATTTATCACTGGAATACAGAGAATTGCATTGCTTAGTTAAGGGTTGTTAAGTAACCTTTATGAATCTGGTATATATACCTTTACTTGCTTTGAGCCATCATCTTTCACTCTATTAATTATTGTCTTCAAGAAATTTCCAGAACCCATTGCTGATAGTAAGTATCTCTACCCAGTTTAGCATCAACCTGGCAGTATTTTCCAGAGCAAATATAATCAGAAACAACAACAGTAATAAATTGGAACACAAAAAATTCAGTTTCTTAAAAGAGCATGACCGAAAAGATTCAAAAAATTTTGAATTTTATGCTATGAACCTGATTTGATTTGAATTGGAACATTTATTCAAGGAAAATAACTAGCAGTTACTAAACAGAATCAGCAAGCTCTTTCACAAATGAACAACCAGGCAACAATCAAAGTCAACCCACCTACCACTAACAGACACAAGCTGAAATTGCAGCAGCTACATTAACTCCATAATATCATAAACCAAAGATTTGATTTTTAGACAATAAATTAGTTTCTAAATTGTAATCATCCAGATCCTAGGATTCCTCCCAATCATGGGGCATCCCGCATCCCCATATAACCATTTTTTCCACTGGTTAAGCAAACAAAACAAGAATCTATAAGAAACCAAACCAAAATACGAGTTAGCAAGAACATACCAAACAAAGCTGTCAAAAGAGGTACTTTTGGTTTTGGAGGAAGGGAGTGAAGTGAAGGTTTTGGGAGATAAAGGGCAATGTGGTGAACAAATATAGTACGAGTTGCAGTAAAGAAGAAGGAAAGCCTGAGATCAAAGAAAGGAATAATTAAAGGGTGGGTGTGGAATGTGCATTGTCATGGCCCATTTACCAGCTTTTTCCTCTCGTTTTATATTTCTTCTGTTTATTTTTGTTTTTTGTCTCACAAATAATCAAAAGCTGGTCCAATGGAAGAGAGAAAAATTAAGAGAAATCATATTAAAAATATGTTCTTTAATTCTCTCTCTCTCTCGTCAATCAAGGGCTCAACAACTGATGTGAATTATGAACTGGGGAAATTTGTCGTGTTGGTTGGTTTTATTATTATGATTTACTAAGAACATTCAACAAAAGGAGAGATGATGGAATATAAGAAAATTTAACTAACAATGACTTGTTTTTTTGGTGCAGAAAAAGGTGACCTATGTGAATCTATGATTCACTGATTTCTCCCCCCACAACATTTGTTTCTGCAGATTTTATTTTGTTGGGATAGTGAATGGAGTTGGGAACATTCTGGGTACGAGTTTACTTATGGTATAGCTGGGTCTTTGTGGAATGTTGACCGGATTGAATCGGACGTTCGGATGTTAAACTGTTAAGCAAACGTTCGTCAAGCTGACTTGGAAAATAACAAAAAAGTCCCAAACCGGAGACCTTCAACGCACATATATCAAGACTTGATCATTGAAACTGATAGTTCAATATTTTAGTCTGCACATGGAAAACAGTGTGAATAAAGTAATCAGTAATGGGTTAGATAAACAGCAGTCATTTACCTGCGGGCGGTTGAAGATTTTACATCTGAAAACAAAAATTCTTTTCATGCCCAAATAAATAAACATTTCAGTCTTTCGTTTCGCTTGATTGATCAGCTAACGCATTATTATAATGTTTTAGCCTCATAATATTATATTGTCGAAAACAAACACGGATTCCTAAACAATGTTAAGAGAGTGTTTTAAAGTCAAAAGGAAAGCGTGGCTACCTATCTTCAAAAGCTTCCACCTCTAAAAGTTTAGGAAAATTCCTACAATTCACATTAATGGCTCTTCTTGAGAAATTGACATATATATATATATATATATATGCATTTGTTAAGCTAAACAACACACCTCCCTCGGCTTCCATTGGAAGAGAGAAGTAAGCAACTATGGGTTCAGATGATGATGATAATAGAGGATTTGGTGTCAGCCGCAAGTTGATAGTCGCGGCAATAGCCTCTTTACTCGGAGTTGTGATTATCATAATCTTGCTCCATCTCTACACAAGGTATCTTCTGAGACGCCAAGAGAGGAGACGGCGAGCTGCCCTTAATCTCCCGAGGACTCGAATTGCAGCGTTTTATGAAACTTCCATCATGAATCCACCAAAGTCAGGGCTCGACCCTTTGGTTCTTGCGACTTTGCCGATGTTCACGTACAAGCTAACCACCAGTCAGGTTGATGACCATGACGAGTCCATGGAGTGTTCTGTTTGTTTGGGAACCATCACGGAAGAGTCCACAGTCAGGCTTTTACCAAATTGTAAGCACATGTTTCATGTGGAGTGTATAGATACGTGGTTGGGATCACATACAACGTGCCCCATATGTCGCACGGAGGCTGAACCGACGGTCCAGGCGGCAGAGGATAAAGAGTTGTGCAGCAGGGTTCAACCCACGGCTCCTACTTTAATGGAAAGCGCGTCCATTGGTGCTGCCCAAGAGGGAAAGGAAGGTGGAGCATCAGGGTCAGGGTCAGGGTCAAGGTCAAGATTTGGTTCCTTTAGAAGGATGCTTGGTGGGGAGAGATCGTCAACAAGGTTTCAAAGTTGTAGGGATGAAATAATTGGCACTCAAGATTTAGAGAGACAGTGACGAAAACTACTCTTTGAGAGTGATTCAATTCAAAGCTCATTTAGCTATTTTTCCCAGATAAATGAAGTGGTTGAATTATTTTTCTTTATAACATGCACTCCGGATCTTGCACTAATCTCCCTGATTAACATTAACTAGGCTAAATATTTATGTTTAATATTAAAATAATTACCTTTTCCTTCAAAAAATTTACTTTCCATAATTAATTAAATGCAAATATTCAACGTATTTTTTTGATAATGGTGAAGTAATTATCAATTAATAGGTTTAGTGTTATGAAGATTGTTTATGAATTACTTTATAGTTTCATAATTTGGAGGTCTCTTACGGAAGCTGCTCTCAACCTAGTGTTATGGATAGCCTACTATCTTACCTCCCCTTACCTCATACATATGGGAAAAAGGGACATCCATTTTTATAGTTATTTTTCGTATGTAAGATGTTACTTTTTATATAAGTAAAATGTTAATGTATTTTTGGTTAAATATATGTAACCAATATAAGTATAGAATAATTAATATACGTAACGAATAAGAAAACATGTCGGGACAAAAATTCTAAGGCCAAGCATACTATTTACGTTGATTCCCAATTAAGTGAAATTTAAATTTAATGAAGGATTTTAAATGTCACTTTAAATCTCATTTTATATATTTGTCTTATTTTAATTGATATTATTTTTTATTATTTTTTATTATTTTTCACTTATAAATTCAGAATAATTCTCTTTCATGGCTGTTATTTAGTCTTAACCTCAAGCTGTAAATTAATGAATGAATGTAGTCCTAAATTTAAAAATAGGGTAAATTATACCATTCTTTATTCTCTCTCATTTTATTCATTAAACTTTTAATTTTTTCAATTTGCTCACTAAACTTTGATATTACTCATGTTTTGGTTACCCCACCGTTAAATAATTAATAGCGTTATGACATGACACATGACATCAACACGACCTCGTGTTTAAAAAACTAAATTTCTACCAAAACGACGTCGTGTTGCATCTATATACTTGAAATTTCCTTCACTTATTTCGTTTTCCTTCTTTTTATTTCTTTCATTTTCTCTCAACATGGTAGAATTCTGACCACCGTTTGTCGTGGTCGACCACCACGCCGGCCACCGTCTGTCGTCGTTGACAATGGCCACTAAGCTCCAAAATTTTCCACTAAACTCGTTTTGTCCTCTTGAACGCAAACTGGTGTTCATTTAACCTAAAAATCCCTTAAACTTCATTGATCCAACGTTGAAAGATTCGATTTTTTTTAGATATTTGTCATTCATCGTTGACAGTCACACTCTTCCACCGACGACGGAGCTCATCGATGGCCTGGCATCATCGATTGACCCTCTCAAACAACTGAACATAAACTTTAAAGCCTTGGTTTACAGTAGCTTTTGCTACATAATATTCTCCATTGGTGTAAAGGAAATGATTCAAATTCAAGAGTAAAAGGTAGTTTCATAAATCAAATCCACGATAGCTTTTTTAAAGCTTCAACGCGAGCTAAAATGAGATATAGAATGACAGTGGGAGTTGGAGAGTGGGGGTGGGGGTAGAGTTGTAATTTGGGATTAGGGTTTAGGAATAAAATTTAAGAATTGTTATTTTATTTTTATTTAAATATATACATCATCATTATATATTAATAAAAAAGCCACATCATCTAACCGTTAAAAGAAAACGGTTGAGTGAGTAAAATAATTCGATATGTAAAGTTCAATCAACAAATTGGAAAAATTAAAAGTTTAGTGAGTAAAACAATGGAGAGAGTAAAATTCAGTGAGAAACGTTGTAATTTACCCTTAAAAATATTTATTTGTTGTCCACGTATGGGGTAAGTTTCGTGGGATATACAAGTGTACACTACAGCAAAAGTGGCTTGTTGCGGTGTTTTTTTTTACTTATAGCGGCGTTTTTAAGCGCCGCTAAAAACACATGCGACGTAAAGACAAACGCCGCTAAAAGCGCCGCTAAAAATAGTGTCGCTAAAGTTTGCGGCGTTTTTGGCGTTTTTTAACAAAAAAACGCCGCAATAGATGACAACATATAGCGGCGTTTTTTCAACAAACGCCGCAATAGGCTTTGATGTTTAGCGGCGTTTTCTTCTCAAACGCTGCAGTAGATGTTTATTTTTCCCGGCGTTTTTCCTACAAACGTCGCAGAAGATGTTGATATTTAGCGGCGTTTTCCTACAAACGCCGCAGAATATGTCTTGAGATTTAGCGGCATTTTCGTCGAAAACGTCGCAATATGTCTTGCGATTTCGCGGCGTTTTTATCATAAACGCCGCTAAATGTATGGTATATTGCAGCATTTTTTGTTACAAACGCCGCTAAATAACACAGAATTTAACAGTTCTAAAAATTATGCTTAATACCCCAAATATGTTTTTTCAACTTGTTCCATTATCCAACAAACAAAACAACAATAACATCAAATCCAATATAATAAATAAAAATTTTCATTAACGTAATATAAGTTAAGTTAAACACGGTTCAGTAACATTAACATAATGCTCATAACATAAATGAGGCTACGATGGTGGATTCTGAGGTTGCGTTTTTTGTATCATCAGCATCATATCATTGAGTCGTTTTTCAAATTCTTTACATCTCTGCTGATATATTACTTCTCTCTGTTCTGCCGCTGCCTCTCTCTGTGCTGCCTCTGCTTCCGCTGCTGCTCTAGCTGCTTCCGCTGCTGCTCTCTCTCCTTCCCTTGCTTCATTTTCCGCTTTCAAGTTAGCAATTTGTTGATCCATCTCAGCCAACTTTTCTTTTAAATGACCAACTTCTAATTGGGAAGATCGAGACTGTGATGACATGTACTGTGATGAACTGGATCCAAAATATTTGGTGGGAGTAACGAATGATCCTTGACAACGCACCCGACCATATCTTTCAGGACCCAAAACGTCATTAATAGTTTGGTTTTCAATGTCATCATCATTAACAATACCTTGACTCGAAGCAGTAGCATGATACTCTGCCCTTTTCTCCCTCAATTTTTCCTAATAATAAAGTGAATAATTAATTAAAATAAAAAATATCATGGTAAAAATATAAATAAAGTCAGGTAAATTTAAAACATCTACCCAATAAACGTACCATAATTTCTGCAGCGTCAGTAGTCATAGGAGTGCCATCCTTCTTCGTATGTGTCATGTCGAAGAGTTGGATTCGACCAACTTTAGAACCGGATGTATTTTCCTACAATGTACCATAATGTAATTACTATGAGTTAGTATGTACATGGAATACAAAAAAACTATTTCAATAATCTATAATACCTCCTCATGAGCTATACAAGCAAAGCTCTTCGATCCAGCTGTGTGCGTAAACTTTTGTTGTTGCCTGCTAGCAACACCAACATGCTCTAGGTCCTACAATGTCAAACAACCACTTATAATGATGATTTAAATTTTTTTACAAGTATTTATGAAAAATACATCATACATGTCCTTTTTGAGAACTCCAAAATCTGACTGCATCTTCCCATTGGTACCTGAGCATTCCTGGTGGGACTGTTTGCAACTTCTCTTCAAGGCTGAGATCATTCTTGAAGTATTTCTTCTTTAAGGAGCTATTGTGGTCCCTTCATCTCTTCCCTAATGCTTGCTTCACATAATCGTCAGAGACCTCTAAAACAAATTTCTCCTATACAACAAATAAGTGTGCACCGTAAGTATAAATTAGTATTGAATTTATATAGAGTATCTATTATAATGACATTATTACCTTAACAAAATCCAACGCTTGATTTTTGTTACTATTAGGCATTTTACGCCATGACTCATAATTGATCGGTAACAGATTCGCATTACGTCCAACTATGCCTAAGTAACCTGCTAGAAGACGTGATTCTGGGCCAATAGGTTGACCGGCATCGTTTCTTGAAACTTTGACACGATGCCCAGGAGGAAGTTGGTATAATTCCTTTAAAGTTGTACGTCCTCAAGTCTTGCACGTTCCAGCATTTTCAACTATATAAGAAATTATTAAATGTCAGTTTTGAAAATGAACAAAGTAGTAAATAAAGTTTCAAAGATTACCTTGAATTTCTACTTCTTCAACAGTTTCAGGAACTTCGAAAGACTCAGGTGCATTCGTTTCCTCGTTATTTCTTTCTTCATGGTCTTCAGAAGCTCGAACAACCCACAAATCAGATATTTTTCTCCTCGGCATTATATCTGCAATAAACAAACATGAGTAATAAAAAATGATTTAATTAATGAATACATTGAAAGACAACATGTTAAGGGTTATAACATTATAAATAAATAAATGAAGATATAAAATCGTACAACAGTCTTATGTAATGTCAGTTGTCATAAATATCTTCATCAACGTCCTCCCGAACTCATTGAAATTGTGTTGTATTACTGATAGTTTCATCTAAGTTTTGTGGTAGTAGAGGTAAACACTCTGATCTTGTTTCAATGTCATCTCTACTTCTATCCCCGATGTCTATCAAGTCTCTGGGAGTATTTCGAAGCACAACATACCAACCGTCATCCATTGGATCGTGACAATAAAATACTTGTTTCACTTGACAGAAACATTAAACTATCATATATTGTCCTTCAATTTATTATAAGATGTTAACTATACTCCTTCATGTAATTTTCAACATTCTAGGATCTAGTACTTTATATTAGTCTTAAACAACTAACTCGTGTCTCATTTCAAACGACGCCTATAATATATTTTTTCAATTGGTATAGATACCCCTATTTAAATAATGATATGCAAATCTTGAGTATCAATTTCACTCCTATATTTATCAAGGTTCACCTAGAGTACCAGAATGAGTCATTTTTATGATAGTCATGATACAACAAATATTAAAGATACACTATTCTGTTCAAAATCAATGAAGACATACTTATAACTTAAGTCTGTATATAGATATATATGAATTAAATTACCTTAATAATCTGGTTTTAAATGGTCTCGCTATGAATACCTACCTGCAGAATATAATAAAAAAGATATCA